ACGTCATTAAACTTGTGCCAAGCTACGACTTGGGGAACCGAGAAAGATTGAGCCTGTCGAGTGAACCACGCATGGCCGTCTACGATAGGTATGTTTGTTCGTTCTACTTGCCGCGACTACGCCTCTAGCTCGAAACTTGTGTGGAGCTTTTTTTGTTGTTGATCGCCACTAATACCATAGTATGGATCAACCACAACCAAAGTTATGCCTATTGAAAGGTTACTGATCGACTACGGTACCATACTGCGGACCTATCATGCACGATCCTCTCCAGTGTACATCATGATTTCATTGTGCCTGTCGAGAGCTTTGCCGATCGCCTCCAGTGCGTACCAGTAAGCACAACTTCCAAGCACCACCTCCAGACTGCTCGCTACGCCACGATCGTGATATTCTCCCGTGAATGACAGTTGAACATAAAGAAGAAGAACGCCATCGGGGAGCCGGACATCGTTATCGCTTCTTGTGTTCTTGTGTGATTACTTACTCGTCGTAAGCTCGGAATCGGAATCGGACCCACCTCAACACACTGCTGTCTGTTTTCTGTCATGAACGGAATCGGGACGCGGCACGCCACAGACGCGACTGAGGGCTGTGACGTCATTTAGGATGAAAAGGGTTACACGACAAGCAAAAAAGTCCTGGCAAAATCCGTTGCCCCTAACCCTATTTCTCGTTGGATTCTTTGCCCTTTGCCCACAGTGACAAGCTTCCTTCCTCTCTTCCTCCCTCTATCGATGAACGGATGAAGAACACCCGAGCCTTGCCTCACGAAGAACATGCGGCCTGTCACTGTCCAATGTCATGAATCATTCCTGCCTTCTTCTTGTGGTTAAAGTAAGGTCTCACGTACGATCGCAACTATCTGGTGACGCAGGTATGACGCGCATTCTGGGTTCTGGGTTTGTTGCGTTCTGGCTCAGGAGGTTCTAAATTCCCTTGTATAAAGGGTGCGAAGGTCAACTGGTGAGCGTTCCCTAAATTTATCACCCCCACCACCCTTTTTTTTTTGCTTACCACCATCATCAGTGAGGTCGATTGTTGTTGACCTTGCATCACGAACGACTGTAACGAACGAAACAAGAACAAGAAGAATAACGAAGAAGAATGTCTCTACCACCTGCACCGAAGGATACCTCTACCCACCCGTCCAAGGGAGCTGTGATTGATCCTGTGGATAAGGACGCGAAGGATAGGGATGTCGATAGGAAGGTGAGCCGTTCTTGTCCTATCGCTTTCTTTCCCCGTTCCTTTGGCGAGTCGTATCCCTCGAGATTGTGGTCAAATGAGTTGCCATGGACCCAGCCTTCGTCTTGGATCCATCTGATTGTAGCGATGAGATTTGTTGTCTCGTTCGCTGGCGTCATCGATTTCATATCCACCAATTCACGGCCTTTGTTGTTGTGCAACCCATGATCTCCGTTTCGTCTCTTTTTCCTGGCGTCATCGGCGTGAAGATTTCACACCAATTCATCCATCTTTATCCCGCTGCACGCGTCGCATCCTCCCCATTTCTTATTCTGTGATGTCAGACGTCTTCTATTCGCGCGAACTTCGCTTCTCTTCCTTCTACCCTTCTTCATCACCCCAATTGGTTCACGTGCTAACACCTCAATCTTCTCCCCCTCATAGCTAACTCTCTATACCGCTCTCCTCGCTCTCCGCTCTTCCAAACTCCCAACCAACGCTCAACTCGACGCGTACCTCTCCTACTGGAAAGGCCTACAAGACTCCTCCTCAGATCCCAAGACCAGTCAACTTAGCAAGGACGGTCAAAAGCTCGTTCGCGACGTCCAGGATATCCTTGAAACCCTCCGTGTCTTGGTCAAGGAGAAGAACCGGGATGAGATTATTCAAGAGTTTACTTGGAACACTCGAGGGTTGAGTACGTCTCTTTCTTTCTTGTTTGTCCTCCGTGCGTGTTGACTGATGCGGCAATAGGCGATGACGTGACCGCGTCGGCGGAAGCTACAACCAAGGATGCCAAGACCCCTGTTACACAGGATAAGGCCAGGGAGGATGGACAGGTTGCGATCAAGCATTTGAGGACGTTGTTGACGCTCCTGTTGACAAACTCGGAGGCGAGGAAGCTCGTTTCGGACTTTGGTCTGATTGGCAGGGATTTGTTGAGTAAGACGCTGGTCAAGGTGGGTTTTTTGGTCTTTGATGTCTACTGGTGCTTGTTACTGATGGCCGATATTGCTGGTAGGCCGCGGAAGGTGTTGCGCCGAACGAAGAGAAGCTCCGAACCGTTGATGAGCCTCATCGTGGAAGTCAGGAGTTTGTCGATGCGGAAGAGTTGAAGAGGAGGAAGGAAGAAGCGAAGGAGAAGATTGAGGCTGCGAAACAGACCAAGGATCAGAAGAAGGAAGAGGGTGAGTCTATCTTCCCCATCTCTTCCGTTTCGGCGGGATAACTCACTCGTGTTGACCTTTAGCCGCGAACGCTGCTCTCGATGAAATCAACACCGCTCAAGCTCGTGCGGAGACTGATGGACCTGAGGCTGCGGCGAATGAGGTCACGTCTCCGACGAAGAAGAAGGGCTTCATGGAGAGGATTACTGGCGGTGTCAAGGTACGTCTTACCTCGCCTTCGGTTGATTATCTTGATAGTGACGTATGGCGTTGCAGGATACCATTCCCGGCGAGCACCAGGACAAGGCAAAGGCTCACTACGGCCGTGGTAAAGAGTTCATCACCGAAGAGTACTTCCCCGAATCGAGGAGAGATCAATGGATCTGGCGTGGCAAGAAGGTACGTCTTCCCCTGTCCCTTCCTCTAAACGTTTCCGAGTTAACGACCGTATTGCAGGTCATCATCGAGTGCCAGAAACACCCCGAATACCAAGAATCCCTCGAATGGCTCATCTCCTTCATCAAAGAATACGCCTCCCACGGCCGTTCCTTCTCCCAAACTCAACTGGACAACTCCAAATCCAACGCCCCTTCCTCGTTGAACACGTCCTTACATCAACTCAAAGTCATCCTTGAACGGTTCGCTTCGAACAAGAGCTTCAACAACCTCATTCTCGATCCTATCAACGCGCTTATCGACGATGCCAAACGCGACCCCGAGCTCGAGTCGTGGTGGAAGGAAGTGGGTGTGTACTTGGAGCGATGTGTGAGGGAGCCTGGGTATGTGACTGAACCGCAGTGTGAAGCTGAGGGGAGGAAGTTGGAGGATACGGGAAAGATTTTCTTTGGTGGGGAGGTGAGGAGCGATTTGAAGGGTGGAGAGAAGGAGGCGAGGGAGAGGGGGAAGTATAGGGAGCATCTTGATAGGGTTTTCGATGGGGCGAAGGACTTTGTTGGGGGTGTTGCGGAGGATAGGACGAATAAGAGGTTGGTCTTTTTTTTCCTTGTTCTGTGTTGGGAGTATGTGCTGACGTTCTGGGTAGGCTCGGTACGGATATTCAGCGTTTGACGAAGGATCTCCTCTTCGAGAACGATCATCTCAAGTTCAAGAGCGATCTTTGGAATGATGTCAGGGGAGTAATCCTGCCCGGGCTGATCGATGAGGTACGTTTCCTTTCACTTCTTTCTCGTCGTTCAACGCTGACTTTGCCCTATGCAGGTCGGTTACATCCCCATCCCCCGTATCGAATACACCGACGAAACCTTTGACCTCGTCGTCGAAAACCTCACCCTCTCCGGCCGCAACCTCTTCCCCAACGTCGTCGAAGTCGAAATGCACAACTGGCTCCGCTGGGAAACGTTCGACAAACTCAACCACCCCAAAGACCCCCACAACTCCACGACGAAAGATTCCAAGCGTCCGCCAAACTCGCATCACAAGTTCCATATGCATATGACGCAGATTCAAGCTGATATGAGGGACGTGTTGTTTTATTTCCATAAGAAAGGAGGGGCGATTAAGATTAAGGATTCGGGTGTTGCTGATCTTGTGCTTGGAGGGGAGGGAATGAGCGTTGATGTTGAGTTGGGAGATTCGAGGGATGAGGCTAGGTAAGTTTGGTGTTTTCTCTTTCCTTTCGTTTCCGTTTCTTGGTGCTTACCCACGCGTCTTTGTAGACTCTTCGACATTAAGAAAGTCGCCGTGAAGATTGAAGGATCGCTCAAAGTCTCCATTCGGGATACGAAACACGACGTGTTGTACAAGACTCTCAAACCGTTGATGATGGGTCTCGTCAAGCGGCAGGTTCAGAAAGCCGTCGAGAGCGGTATTCGAAGCGGGTTCGAGTTTATTTCGGAGGAGTTGATCGCTGTGAAGCAGAGGATGGACGAGGCGCAGCGGGCTGCGGAGGCTGGGGAGGGTGAAGAGGCTGTTGGGAGGTTGCAGGCTTTGCAGGATGTGAGTGTCTTCTTTCTCGTCTTCCTTTCTTCTTTTCGTGGTGTTGATGAAAGTTGGGTTTACAGGCATTCAAACGCACCCCATCGATCTCTGCAAACTCGAAAGACGCCGTGTCTGTTCAATCCGCCGGTGGAACTTCACAGTTCAAGGTCGTCGCCAACAAGCGCAACTCCATTCTGGGAGAAGTCGGGCATTCCGGTGGATGGGTCTCGCGTGTGGGTGAGCGGGAGAAGCTCATTGGGAGAGCATCGACGAGTCAACCTGGTGCTGGGTTGGACGATAAGGGTGATAGGGAGAAGGCTGCGCTGGCGGGGACGAGCCATGCGCCTGGTGGGGAGACGTGGAAGAGTGAGGTGTTTGATTTGAGGTTGAATACGCAGGCGAAGGTGTAAAGGCCCTTGGTATTTTCGTTTCATGGACTTGGTCTTACGTTGTGGATGGTGGTGGATGACTGTTGTTCCCTTTCTTCTTGACGCCCTTTCTTGATACTTTCACTTGTTGTTGTAATATAGTTCATAGTTCACTTTCACCTTTACATTACATTACTCCCGTCTTCGTTCCACGTTATACGACATGATTGTACTCTACGACTCCCACGAATCAATTTCTCATTTTCCTTTGATTTTTCTCTACAAGTTTCTCACCGTGAGAGCGAGGGGACTTCGGCACAGTAATTGACACATGAGGTATGGCCGACTAGCTCAGTTGGTTAGAGCGTCGTGCTAATATGGGACCGTTCCGCCGCCTTGTATTCACGCGAAGGTCTTGGGTTCGATCCCCACGTTGGCCATTGTATAACATTAACGCGATGTCTTTTGATGTGAGTTTTGAGTTCGAGGGCTCACTTTGTTGAGTCGGACTCGGTTGAATTTACACTTATTGGCCCTTGGATATACTTTTTTCCCTGTTACATAGGCCGTTGAACGTTGAAAGGGTGTGATCATTGTTTTCAGTTGTCTTTCTACTATCTAGTCCCCGACTCGAAAACGATAAGAGTACTACGGTCGGTATGAGACTGTGGTAATGCTTGCCCCAGATACCTCCTCTTGGACCTACACCATGGGTACGGCCCTTCGGAATCGAGGCGCGCCACAAAGCGTTCAACAAGGTCCGTGTCGGAGGGTTGACGTTGCTCCCTTATCTACCTCACCCATTCATCGTGACACGAGCTAACATTCGCCTACAGGAGCTATCCTCCAACGAATATTGAAAGGGAAAACCCAAGATTCGAGTATACAGTATACCATGTTGGACTCAATTCTATCTCTCAGATATTCACGTTTTCAGTCGACGAAAACAAGCGTTTGGAAATGGTCCGAGTTCAGGGACCACGACTCTGAGGCAAAAGCTCCGGCTATACGTTGGATACGTGGATAGTACCAAGGCGGGCCACTTACGCTGAACGGCAGATAGTCCCGGTTTTTGTCTCGCTATCTTTAGATATCCCGACGACTCGTGAACTTGTTTTGTCCCGTGACCCTTGAAGGCCTCAAGTACTACGCCACTTTACAATGCATATCATTCGTACCCAACAGCCACAATCATGCTGGGTCTTTGCTTGAATGATAGTTGTTTTCGAGTTCCGATGACTCGACGGACGAGGAACGACTAAGGCTATCTGAAGCTTTGTATTCTCATACTGAGCTAGGCTGTAGCTTGAGCTGCTATGGCGCCACGAGCGACTGGGTGATGGGTACCTTGCCTTTCTATTGGACCTTGTTCACAACGGTGGTGGCCGCCTAGGGTATCTTCTTCGTTGCTTTGTTTCATGGACTTGGATTGCGGGTGGTGGTGGATGTTAACGCTTGTTCCCTTTTTTCTTGATGCCCTTTTTTGATATTTTCACTTGTTGTTGTAATATAGTTCACCTTTTACACTTACATTACATTACTCCCCTCTTCGTTCCACGGTATACGAAATGTTTGTACTCTACGACTCTTACGAATCAATTTCTCGGTTTCTTGACTTCTATGTCTCTATAACTCTTTGGCATGAAAGAGGGGCCTTGATTAAGGTAACTCTCGCAAGTGGTATGGCCGACTAGCTCAGTTGGTTAGAGCGTCGTGCTAATATGTCGCACATACTCTGGTGTCAAGTATTAACGCGAAGGTCTTGGTTTCGATCCCCACGTTGGCCAATTCCATAACCCCATGTGCAAATTTTTGGGACGCGGGGTCGATATAGTTGGACCTTGTGGGTCCCTTCTATAGTGGTGATCGACACTGTCCTGCCCATTAGCGCGTTAAAATCCCAATATAGGTCACCGATTTGCGCGACAAAATCAGAGACGTAACCTACTCGTATTTGGAGATTTAATATTGCCAGTCAAGGCACTGTCGATCCAAGCTAGTCGGTTGAGGGCAGCTCTTACGGTTGTGCTAAAGACCGTGGTGGGTCCAATCCCGATTCGGACAACGAGTGAATTGGGATTACATTACGTGGTCTCGAGGTGGCTTTGTCTGTGCTCCTTTTGTATTCCCCCGGCCCCCCCCCCCCCTCCTCATTCGAAGTTCTCGACCATAGATCATGAAGGCCAGCCAAAAACGGACTCAACCACCCGTGTCATGCGACGCCCTTGCTCAGCAACGACCAGAGTCAGCTTGGAAATACAACACTGCAAACTCTCAAATTTTATCGACTCGTTCAATGCTGTTTCTCGCTCTCAGTCTCGAATCTCATCAAAGCGGCTCTAGGCAGAACCTACCCGCACCTTTTTAACTCATGTACTGTCTGCGGTTCACAATCCGACGTAGTGAGGCTGTTGAAATTCAACGATACGGGGCTGGCACTCGGTAGCAGTGGGGTTGCCCTCGTAACGAGCACAGATTCAGACGGATGAATTACTCAGAGGTAGGTACGAGCTCCAAATTTCGAACGATGAAGTTGTTGGGCCCAATTTGAGCGTATTTTTGTGTCGGCGTTTATGATGTTGTACTTTAAGTCCCGTCGGATATAGTCTGTTCATGATGTTGTTACGCACGATGTGATCAAAAGAGCCGGAGTTTGATTGGTCTACCTCTAGCTGGGCTTACTTCCTTCTTGCTACTAGAAATATTACTCAGGACTACAACATGAAGTATGGCCATTGGCCCCCCGCTGCCGCAAAGTAAGAAAAAACACAACAACATGCTTATGATTTCGTAATTCGACATCAGACAAGTACTGTACAAGCGTGGTCGATGCCTTTTTTTGGTATTTACTACAGTTTTTTTTTTTTTTCGTAATCAGTCATATGAAAAGAAAAGAAATTTTTGGCTGGACGTGCGACCCAGAGGTCAACCAGGATTTGACGGAAGAGGCGATGTCGGAGTCAGTTGGTCATGGCTGGGAGCGGGCATGAGCAGCCAAGCGGTCTCCTCGGAGTGGTTTTCCTCAAGATGGACCTACCTTCTTGTCTCTCTGTTTGCTGAACTATAGGATAGACGAAACCTCGAGGGTCTACTGCTACGAAGGCATGCTCACCATCTCCTCATGCTCGAGTCCCAGGCAAAATATGACCGGTATTTGAGTTCGTGGCTTGCAGCGCTTGCCATTCACTTGTTGGTGGAGTACAACCAAGCCCGGGCTCTTCAGCACTACGAAAATAGTCTCGAGGCCAACGCTGTACCTCGAGAAGATCAGGACGGAAAGGACGGAAATGAAGATTAATGAGAGAAGTTCGAGGCTTCGAAGAGGTGCTTAAGCTTTCTTCGGCCTGCTCGATCCTTGTTGCCGGCTCATGATATATGTTGACTTATTCGTTGGCAGATCGTGTACGCCAAGATCTGGCAATATGTCAAGGGGTGTCACCAAAAAATTTTTTTATATATGATCTTCCCATATGATCTTAAGGCCCTTCGGCCCCCCCCCTCCCCCCTCCCTCCTACCATTTTGGGAAGGTCTTTCTCACAGTCACATGCCAGTCCCACCTATCAAACACGTCCTGACAATGAATTTTCCAGTCTGAGCTGGCACGGATGTTACTCAAAAGGTACTGGGAGCCTCCAAATACGGTGGGACTCAAGTTGGTTGCTTGAGGAGATTATATGTCTGATAGTAAGGTCCAAAACCCAGACTCCAGACTCCAGCATACCTTTGAAGTTTGGCAACCTGTACAGTTCACACTGGATCTTAAGACAAAATGGCCATCTACTTTATTCTCTAGCCTCTGAGCTCTCAGAATGAATGTTAAAATGAGTGTCAACATGTCTAGAAAGGGCTCCCTAGACCCCCAAGGTCTGCTCAAGGGGGGTCATTTTTGACCTTAAGGGCTTGGGGACCCCATATGACCAAGATGCCCGGGTGACACCCCTTGCAATATGTACATCGACTTTTCGCTCGTCCTTAGACTACCCTATCGATTCGAGCATATATTATGCAATACCACTGCTCGAGACCTACCTCAGCGGCGTGGACGAAACAGGTTCCGAGCCACTGTCGGAGCTTTGAGCACGGTCTGCATCCTGGACTTCTCCTGCATTGGTAAGTCGTAAAGTCTCCTTCAAATGTTACATCTAGCAGGGGTGCCTCAAAATCCAGCTCATCTACAGCCTGCCCTCTAAACCATAGCGGTCATAGACTTTAGACCTTACAACGACTGCCCGCCTAGGTCGAGGTCACGAACTTTGGGTCTCGGGAGGCATGAGAAACTCAAGTACCGGCCTATGAGTCTGTGAAAGAGTTATTCTCGTTTAGATGCAGCATTTGTTTGTTGACTTTGTTTCCGATTCTCTTATCAGTTGATAGTTATAGTACTAAATGCATTCAATCTCTAATGCTATTCGTATATTCCCTTGCATTCGTCGACGACGAACAAGTTACAAGTCAAATGGGACGCTCGTTCGGGGGTAATTGCCATCAGAAGAGGGAACATGGAATCTCCATCTGGGTGATCATGATGTAACCGTCCAGTTGATGGTATTACTGTACCATTTCGAGTTGTTCGTCAGGGGGTGTGACGTGTGGCCAAAATTTCCACTTTTTGGTTTCGACAGGAAGGTCGGTCAAAGGTCGGTCCGGTGTGACCGACTGAAAAACTTTGCGAATTTCACCCTTTTCGGAGCATTTTTGGACCGAATTGTGACCTGAACCGCTGAAATTTTTCGACACTCGATGTGAGGGACCTGGCGACCTCAATGTGGAAATGGAGATGGAGAGAAGACGCACTATGGCGTTGATTCGACAGGGGAATACATACGACATGAATAGGAATATATAGAAATAACATAGGAGCTGAAACGTGTGAGAAGGTGGCGTGCGGAGTAACGGGCGCCTAGTAACCAGACCGTTACACTCGAGCCTGGGATGCGTGACAGGGCGTGACATTTCAGCAAAAGTAGGTCCCCTGTGACGCGTGACCTGACGAACAACTCGAAATGGTACAGTAGCCAGATAATCGAATGGGAAACAACATACCTGAAGGACAATGGGATCTGCGGGAATTTGGGTGGCGAATCTTGCGGACCTCCACAAGGTGATGGGTCTACTGTTGAGGCGAAGACGTAATATTGCCTACCATTTCTCTCCTGAGCTTTCAGCATGTGGCGGTTGAGTCAACGCTAGAGTTCTTGAAGCAGTGTCAACATGGCCGCTTGCCTGAATAAGCGCCTTGATTCATCTCACCGAAATATTGAGAAGCTTGCTTATCCCGAAGTGTCAGCAGGAGGACAATCATTTTACCGTGGAGATCACACGATCAGTGATAAGAATAATGTAGGGGATTTTTGGAATTTTGGAAAAGGCAGAGACTGGAGCTTTTTGTACTGGACCCATAGATCAGCTCCCCGAACCCTTATAAGTATAAGCAAAGCTTTCAGAATTATCTTGTGTTGGTGGAAGTGATTTGGCAGACAAGAGTTCAAAAGGAGCCAAACACTATCAGACATTCGAGAATTTGCATCAGATGTCGCAATGTTGAGCACTTACACGAAGATAGAATTCCGCTAGCTTCGGGGACACACACGGTCAATGGGCTCTCCAGTCTTTGGTACTCCAGTCACATTCTTTCCCTGTCAAGCTCCAACAGACCCCGTTGACAATAGTCAACACAAACCGACAAGAACTCAAGCTTACAAATAGATCAAGCCTCGCACAGGTGAGTTACCAGTCGACAGCTAACGTGTGCAAGCGCTCGCCGTAACACAAGTCCGGGGATTAAAAACCTCCGGTCAAGAATACGGTATAGCAGAGAATTGTGAAGCCCCGTTCATTAATTTATATGTAATGATGGGGAGACAATTCGATGGAGCCATGAGCCTTGTCCCTTGTTCGCCCGTTAAGTGCGCCTTGCTGTGACTTTAAGTAGTGCTGTATTGAAGATTCCAATCAGAGTCATCAGTTGTACACATACAATGCTCGTTTCGCCCCTTTGGTCCAAGCACATGTACGTAGAATACAATCATCAGGAAAACAGGGTCTGGTGCTGGGGCAACCTGGGAAGGTGACCACCGGACCGGATTCCCCGGTCACTCGGGAGACGCCAGGTTGTGTCACAAACTGCCACTATTCTTTTGTCCTGTCCACCCCGGTGCCGGCCCTACTTTCCCGGATCTTGCCATTTACCATCACCAGAGTCATTCCAATCAATTCTCCCATCGACATAGCATTGGCATCTGTCATCCTCATTTACTTATTGAGCCATATCAGTTATTTTGGTCTTTCATCATGGAACAATCATCTTTTGATCTCTTTCTCATACCTTACTATTGGTTACAACTATACATGTTTGGTTTGACTTCCCCGCTTTTCTCTCATGGATACTCTTGACAGTTCTCATCATTTCATTCATTCCTTGTGATGCATATTCTCATATATACTCATGGTCTCTGTAGGTAGTTTCCCAGCTTGTCCACTTTGTCTCCCCACCACTTGTAGCACTTGTGCTGGGTTGAGCTTTTGGCTGCTCAATCTACTCTTTTACTTTTCTATCAACTAGTCTTATCTCTGAGTGAGTTCAGGTGGCTTGAGAGGTTTCTTCACAGAGGCCATTCGTGACAGGTTGTCCCAGATCTGCCCAGGTATTGATGAGTCATCGGGTTAACCTAGGATTGCCTACCATAACCTGACAAGTCGGCCACCCTGACATATTCCTGGGACACTTTAGAGCACTCCAAGGGCACCTAAAGAATAACCCACCTATAACCGGGGCGTTGATTCTCA